CATGCCCAGACTCCAGCTAAACATTCTTTTTCTATCTGTGCATAACGTGTTTCATCATCTGTGAGTGTTCTGGAGCAATAAGCGACGGGCTTCCATCCCTCCTCATGCTGCTGGCATTGGCTGATACTGTTGTTGGCCTGTTTGGGTCATAATAGGCCAGTACAGGTGTACTCATCAGGGCTCGTTTCAGAGCCTGGAATGCTTTCTTTTGTGGCACATCCCAGACCCATGCTGTGCTGGCTTTGAGAAGATCGTTCAGGGGTGCTGCGACAGTCGCCAGATGTGGAATATATCTCCCTACATATTAATCATGCCCAGCACCCGTTTTAGATCTTTTATGTTGGTTGGGGCTGGCAGCTCTGCTATTGCTTTGACTTTTCCTGGGTCTGGCTGTACGCCTCGGTTACCCACCAGTTGTCCCAGGAAGTGCAGCTGCCTTTGTCTGAAGCAACATTTGTCCTTGTTCAGCTTCACTCCTGCCCTCGCTGTTCTCTCCAGCACTTTCTCCAGCCGCTTATCATGTTCTTGCCCGCTGGATCCATGGACTATTATGTCATCCATGTACACCTCCACCCCTTCCAGGTCTGCCAGCAACTCGTGCATTTTTCTCTGGAATATTTCTGGTGCAATGCTGATGCCAAACGGCAGACGTTTAAAACAATACCTGCCGAACGGAGTGATGAATGTTGTCAGCAGACTGCTTTCTTTATGCAGTGGGATTTGCCAGAAACCGCTGGATGCGTCTAGGGATGAGAAGATTTCGGCCCCTGCTAACTTTGCCAGGACTTCATGTGTCGTTGGTAGAATGTATTGTTCTCTTTCTATTTGATCATTCACCTTTTTCATATCCACACATATACGCAATTTTCCTTTTGAGTTAACCACAGGCACCATTGGGCTGCACCAGTCTGTGGGCTGGGTTACTTTTCAATTACGCCTAAAGCCTCCATCCTGGTCAGTTCTTCCTTAACTTTGGATAGGAGGGGCAGTGGCACCCTTCGAGCTGTGGTCAGTGCGTATGGTTCCACGTTCTCTTTAAGGTGGATTTTGATGGGTTCAGTCTTCAGTGTGCCATGTTTCCCAAATGCTCCACTGACCTGCTCCACTCTTCTCACTAACCCTAAGGCTATTGCTGCTTTTCTG